ATGAGTGATTTTTGAGATTTTAATATCTCGCGAAGGAAACATTCTTTTGAGCTAAAATTTTCGGGGCATTCTGCTCACAACTAGATCTATCTATGGGCAAAATCTCAACCCGAAATATCGTCATTCGATATTTTGGTAAATACCATGCCATAGGCTGTAATTTCAGTAAAATCCCTGTAACTCTGAACAGAAGGCCTAAGGGCCGTTATCCTTTTGGAGTTTTTTATACTTCACTGGGGTTTACCTTATGCACAGGGTCCGAACTCAAAAGCGATTGGACAGTTGGGGACCTTCCCTCGTAAGTTTGATCTTGAGTTTTGTGATCTAAAAATGCACAAGGAGAAATAGACGATGCTGAAGTCAGTCAACAAGAGTGCATAGAAGTTACCTTCTCATTTTGATAAGTAGTAACGGCGATGAATGAAGCCATAGGAAATATTCGCGAGTGAACGAGCAAATTTGCTTGACCCGATGATTGATGTTGCAGAATTTGAATTTGAGGCTCATACTTGTGCATTGGTTTGAGAGCAATCTAGAGGGTGTGGGTGGGGTGTGGGTGTGGGTGGGTGTGAGTGTGGGTGTGGGTGTGGGTGTAGGTGTGGGTGCGGGTGTCGGTGTGGGTGTAGTTATGCATCTTACCTTCATACAACACACACGCTCACACCCACACCCACACCCACACCCACACCCACCCACACCCACACCCTCAACATTTCACAATTATTAATTACCGTTATCATAATGATACGATTGAAACATCATCTGAACTTGGTTTACAAACTCGAATCTTAAAAGTGAAATATCAGATTTTTCATAAAACAGTATTATCTGGAAATAATGGTATCTTAAAAAATATTGACAAGGATTTACTCGACCATTTGTTGGATCGTCTTGTTCGACGAGGTATTTTGAAAAAAGGAAATTGTTTACAATCAGAAAGATCGATTAAGTACGAATCGTACATAAAATATTTACCATGTGCTTTAACTGAACAGCAACAGTTATCAGTCCAATTGAAAAAGCATGATATCTCTTACGAAGAATATTAACAATTATTTCAAGAAAGCGAAATTTCACCTCCATCAACTCGAGTAACTCCATATGGTAAACTCGAATTAGAAAAACAAAATATGGTTTTTGGCGATACTCATGATGTCCAACGGCAACAATCTTCTGCATCACAAGATAGTGGAACACAAAGTGAACGCAATCAAAATACTACCAGTAAGTCTTTTCAAAGCAAAATGTTTTTTACTATCTTTTCGACTCTATATCAGTAGTATTGAATAAAAGAAAGAACTCATGTTATAAAATAATTTCAAGTCTCTACTTTGAACTTTTCGTATGATATATGATTTTAGTTTCACACATCATCAATGCACTCGATTTATCATCGATTAATGCCTTCGATTCATTATCGAACAATAGACTTGATTTGTCATCAGTCGATCTTGTCAATAAACGTCAAACAAGCAATATGTTACCACAACATAACATTTTAATGAACTCAAGTGCTTATAATAATTACTTTTGTCGGTTATTTTCTAATACTGACCTTGAGTTTTCTAGATAATCTTCTTTCGAACAATAGTCCAGTTTTGCAACATAACACATCTTCATCGACAAATGCTATGTCCAATATGAGTAATATTTATTAACTTTTATTCTGTGAGATAAATTGATGAAATATAAATCATTGCTTTTAGGAGATCAAGTGAATAGTTCAACAAATCTGCCAAACAATATGAGGCACTCAGTCGATGGTCAAACAGAGCAACATCACGAAAACGTTTCATCTCATGGTAGGTATTTATTATTATCTCTATTGCCATTCGTTTTTGTTAATTTCTAATGATTTCATTCCGCTCATCTTCTCATATCAGTGTTAGTCTTTAAAGCATGTCAGCGAGTTGACATGCAACTCAGATCAGATTATTCAAAGAAATTTATATTATACTTTATGTTGGTCAGAATTCTTTCTCTTTTTCTCTATGCATGCATGTAATTCTTTTGTTATATCTATTAAGATGATTCTACAATTACTGATAATGAAGACTATGTGCCAATCGACTATAGCAAAGCTTCGTCCAATCATCAACAACAGATTAATGCATCTATTGAAAGTGAATATTATCTAGCTATGTCGTATCTTTTCTATTCTTAATTTTTATCGTCTTCTTTCTTCAGACCAATCAATTGCTTTTGACCATTTGTATAGTATAATAACTACAACTGATATTGCTGCACAGTCAACTACGTCAAATACAAAAGAAGGTAATTCAAAGAAAAATTGTTATCAACTAATAAATTTCTTTCATTATTTTTATCAATATACTGTTTTCTTTAATGTTCTAGGTCAAAATAAACCATTAAATTCACGTTCACAAAGTGTAACATCTACAGAGAATTTTGACAAAGAATTTTCATCAAGAATTTCATCTCAGGTCCACCAACAAAGATTGGAAACAGATAATGAATTCGATTTTGACCAGAATGGTAATTTACTAATTCACCATTTATATTTCCTTTATTTTCGTCTTTCTCTATGTATTTTAACCATTTATCTTTTTCTTAGATTCAGACGTCGAAAGCTATAGTTTTTTCAAACCGTCAATGATGAATACATCAACACCTAGAGAATCAATTGGTACATTTGAATTCCTATAGTTTAATATCAAATATTTCTATCCGTACTTTATTAAGATAAGGATCATTCCAGTTTAAATGTACATGTTCCACAGCAACAATCCAATGAATTGGAATTACTTGCAAATCAAAATTCTTTGTCTTCAAATCTTGTTCGAGAAATTGAATCGTTACAAAGTCCAAACTCAAATCGTGAAAGTATATGAATTTCTAGTTACTTACTAATCTCTCAATTTATATTTCATATGATTTAGAAATTTCCAACGAACAATTTCTAAATTCTTCGTCAATGTCATCAACTTCATTATCTTCAACATCTCAAACAATTACATTTGATCCAGTTGCAGCATTGGCAAATCCTTCATCGATACCAAAGCATATTCTAGATAAATGTAAACAATTTCTTTTATCCAGTTCACCTGTAATTACACGAACATGCTGGAACCGACGGTTTGGTGGCAATGCCAATGTGTGCTATCAAGCAACACAATTATTACTAACAGCTGATTTATTGATGGAAGGTCAATTAATAGTATGTTCAACAAAATCTTCTACTAATTGGATAAAAAAATTACCAACTGATCCAACAAATACAACAACAACCTTGAGCTTTCAACAAAACAAATTAAATATTTTTGGAATAACATGGAATCAATATGTTTCATCTTTTCAACAACTGGAATTTGGTCATAGTCGTTCATCAGGTTTGATATCACAAGCTGCAGCAACAATTCTTGGTTCTAAACCATATCTTGATATTGGATTTATCTTGGATGAAACAATTATTTTTGAAAAAAAGGAAAAAAGTATTTTATATATTGTGAATAGAAGTACCCATAAATTTAAGAATATTGTTTTTTTTTCAGAAACATTTGTAGCCCATCGACAAGATCAAACAGGTAATTTAATTACTAATTTAATGTCATACATGAAGCTGTACAGTCTCATTTCTGGATAATTCTTTCGCCACTTGATCTTGAAGATAATAGTATAAAAATATGATTATTTTTCTTTATTTAGAACCAGCAAATTTAAGTTTAACATCAGTTCAAGATATCCATCTGACTTCGTTTTCAGAACAAGAAAGTAATGAATGATCATTTTCTTCCAATACATAAAGATTTTCTTTTCTGCTCTAGATTCAAATGCAATACATACAGATTCAACAGCATCCATTGTTACCCAATCTTTACCAATTAGTGATACATCTAATATTTTAATACAATCAACATTATTTAGTTCAGCACCTATTGGTAAAGTATTTATAATTTCTTTTATTTTTCACTTGATCTGTTGACAGCTTATTTAATCATGTGATTGTTAGAGATTTAAATCTGTTCAGCGTTTCCACTTTTTGTAAAGAAAACAGTTTTAAAATCGTTCCTGATATGAGACTATAAAATTAGAAGCGATTTAGTTTTGTTTTTTTCAATACAATTATTTGTCGATTTTCTAGAAACATCATTCAATAACCCAACATCAAATGCACCATCAACACCTAAACGAACAAGACGTGAATTAAGTCCTATGAAAACCAGATCAAAAACTCAACGTCTCGATAAGTGCGATGAACAATAAAGTCTTTAAGTAACTTCACATTTTGTTTTTTTTATTGTTTATCTTTCTTGTTGTTATCGATATATTGTGTACATAATCAAAATAATTATGCGAAAAATATTAGATAGTCCGAACTGAACCTTTTCTCTGTTGTAAGTCTTTGAGACTTAAGCGTGTTCTCAATTATGTATCAGGTATTTTCTTCGAACGTTGTTATTGTCATTAAGATGCCTTCTTGTTTAATCATCTTTTTTTTTTGCTATGTTTACTGCTCTGATGTCCTTCTCTCTATTTGTTGTTTTACATTCATCATGCTACCCTGTAAACGTTCATACTGTTCTAAAACAAAAATGGTTTTGTTTATTTTCATTGAAATAACCTTGAACGATGATGTGTTATATCATTATTGAAAATATTGTTTACTCTTATATGATATTATTCATTTTCTGCTTTTTTGTCTTGCAAACGTGAAATAAACTGGTATAAATGATTTATATCTTCTTTTGCATGCATCTACTAATGGATATAAAGAACTTGAGAAAGAGTGACAAAATCATTAGCCACTCATAATAATTTGAATGCTTTTCTATGCATGCATATGAACTGTCACATAGAGTATAAAACCTATATCATTTGATAAAATGTCATTCAAAGGTTGAAACTTTTC